CCTTCCTTCCGAGGAGTGGCTGGTGGGTTTGAACCGCCAGCCGTCTGGTTAGCAGGCAAGTGTCTTAGCCACTATGCTACCAGAGCTCCTAGAAATGCAATAGGAAAATTAAATTCATCTGTAATCCCACCACCCAGTGCTAACAATTTTAACATTTAATATGTAGCATTGTTCTTTTTCTATATATATATAACTTTAATATATTTATTTATTTTTTTAATTAGATCTTACAGTTCTACAGCGTGCTTTATTATTTAAATAATATGATAGACACATTTCCCCATGTCATTAAGTGTTCTTAATAGTTGCATTGTATTCCATAATATGACTATACCATAATTCATTTAACTAATACTTCATTATTGGGCACATTTTTCACTGTCCTAAAGGAAAAAAAAAAAAAAAAAGATTAGATAGCATCTTACTTGCCTCCTAAAATGTTTTCATAGACTAAATCCTAACTGAAATTTCTAGTCAAAGGAGATGTGCAGCTTCCTTTGCCTGCTAATATTTTGCTATTTCACTAGCAATGTTTTAGAGAGCTTATTCCTTCCATCTTTACTAATAATTGAATTCTATTTTATTTAGGGGAGCTCTGATTGCATAGTGCCTAAGGCATTTGACTGCTAACCAGAAGGCTGGCAGTTCAAACCCACCAGCCACTCCTCGGAAGGAAGGTTGGGCAATCTATTTCCATAGATGCCAAAACCCAAGGAGGGGTCGCTATGAGTTGAATCGACTAGACAGCAGTGAGTTTTTTTATTATTTTATTTAATCTTTGTCAGTTTGTTGGATTTCAGATGGCATTTCATTATCTTAGTTGGCATGATTGAGAGGTTTTCTTTCTTTCTTTTCTTTTTTTTTTTTTTTAAGGGGTTATTCAAAAACTCACTGCCGTCAAGTTGGATCTGACTCATAGCGACCCCTCCTTGGGTTTCTGAAGCAGCATCACTATGGAAGTAGACTGCCCAGTCTTCCTTCCAAGGAGTGGCTGGTGGGTTTGAACCACCAGCCTTCTGGTTAGCATTCTGATGCCTTAGGCACTCCACCACCAGCGCTCCCTAAAGGGGTTATTGTTGTTGTTGTTATGTGCCTTCCAGTCAGACCTGACTCATAGCAACCCCTCCTTGGGTTTCCCAGGCAGTATCACTACAGAATTAGATTGCCCCATCTTCCTTCCGAGGAGTGGCTGGTGGGTTTGAACCACCAGCCTTCTGGTTAGCAGTCAAGTGCCTTAGGCACTTGCTACCAGAGCTCCTAAGGGGTTATTAGCGATATGTAATTGTTCTTTACTAAATTGCCTGGCCTGTTCATATTTTTTGCCCATTCTGTTGGAATGTTTATCTTTTTTTTAATGATTTATAAGTACTTTCAATATATAAGATACTAATTCCTTTGCCAAATTTGTTACAAATCTAAACATGACAAGTTGCCTCTTGTCATGTTTAGAGTATTTGAGGGAAGCTTTTAATCAAATCTTCAGTTTTTTCTTTTTTCCCCCCTTCTGTTACTGCATATAATAGCTTGCCTAGCCCCAAATCAAATATTTACTTACATTTTCTTCTAAAGCTTGCTTGATTTTACTTTTTACATTTAACACCTGCAACTTATTTAAAGTAAGAAATGAGGTAGGAGCAGTAACTTTTTTTCCCCAAATAACCATGATCCAGACTCTTGGGCTATGTGATACTCTTTGCCTATCCAATCTACAGTGCTCCTTTATGATGCATGGAGTTCCCATATATATTACAACTTACTTCTCATCTTTCTATTATGGTCTGTTGGAAGTCTGTTATTTGCATATCAGTGTGATACCATTTTAATTATTGCAGCTATGCATCTTAATGTTTAGGAGAGCTACTTCCTGCCATACTGCTTCCTCAAATTAGTCTTCTTTTGCAGAATAATCTCAGCCCTTCTTAAATGTTCATTTTTCAATATGAACTTTAGAATTATTTAAATTCTCTCAAATCCTTATTAGCTTTTTTTTAACTAGGATTACAGTGGATTTATAGATTAATATAAAAATAATTGACATCTACAATATTGAGTCATCCAGTTGAAGAACAAAGAGTAGGCTTCAATTTATTCAACTTTTTTATTGCTCAATAAAATTTCCAACCATTTTTTGCTCTTCAGTACATCATTAGAGTTTTAATTTTTTTATGTGACCCCTATACATTTCATTCTAAATTTATTCCTTGGTACTTTACTTTTCCTGGTAGTTTTCAAACTGTCTTAAATAGGTAGTTGTTCTAGTTATTTTCACTTTGCCCTAACGGCAAACACAGATAATATATTAGAAAGCACCACAAAAAACCTTGTGTCAATTTCAGCCTTTTTTATTAGGAGATGTTCCCAAAGATAAATATTGTGGCCTAGAGCACAATCATTCTCTCACTAAAAAAAAAAAAAAAAAAAAGCGTCTTCAATCCATTTTCCATCTGGGCTATTTTTTACTAGAAATACAGAGACACATTTCAATGTGAAATCAATTCTAAATAGAGACAGAAGCAACCATCAGGGTACTGCCCTGAATGTCACAACTATGTGCCAAACAGTTCATTAAGTCCTAGAAAATTATCCAAACTTTACAGATGTAGCCATCACTCAACAGAAACCATTATCCACACAAGCAGAGCTCAGAATCATTTAAAACGATAGACAAGAAGAATGCAAAGAAAAGAAAACAACCTTTGCAGTTTGCCTACTGTCATACTTTCTCTGGTGTGTGAAACAATTAAACAATCAATAATGGTGTTATGCATTTCTACATAAAATCAAACTAGTTTTCTCCCTAATCAGTTTCTCAAAAGAAAACCCAGACTCCTTTGTTTTATTTTGTAATGTGCACTTTAACATAAATATTTTCTATTAAAATATAATATAAAGCATATTAAAATATAAATATTTTATATTAAAACACTAATGGGAAAAAATAACTTATTACTAAATATTGTTTTACTTAAATACTTTTTCTGCAAACAAGCCCTTCACTGATAACTTGGTGGACACATTGCCACTCTTTTTGTTCCAATTTAAAAGCAGAGTCACAGAAATACTCTTTCTGCTCAGTTTTCAACTGGTTAGACCTGACCTAAATCAAAGTTGTTATTATATTTGACTTTTTGCCCTAACTTACACTGTCCTTTGCTTCTGGGGCAACAAAGTTTTCCTTTGGATCTCAGTGAGTAGCCAGCTGCTGTGTGCATGCAACATCCCCTAAATCTGTTTTCAAAAGTATTTGTATGTAGTCAGGAAGCATCGTTTGAAATAAGATGTTGAGTTTATAAAATCAATCCTATCAAAGCCTTGGTGCCAAATCTATTTACTTTAAATAGTTTTTATATAATGAAAAAAAAATGCAGGTTAAAACTCAATTGAGATGCCCATTTTTCCCTATACAATTGTCTGAGCTTTCTGCGGAGTTGATCATGACAGAGATGACTAAGGAGAACATATGCATTAATAATAGCCTGTCTTAGAGGTAAATTTTGCACATGCTTTGACCCAAGAATTTTAATTCTAAAATTTATCCTCATGAATTCATCATAAAAATGCACAAAATATTATACGTAATGAATAAATGTTTACTGTAGTACTATTCCTAATAATGAAAAATTGGAAATCACCCAAAGTCCATAATGAGATAATTGGTTATTTAAATATAATAAAATAATTGGTTAAATTTCATATTATGGAAAACTGTGCAACCATTAAAAATAATGATGTACATCCATGTTTATTTAAGTAGAAAGAGGGCAACAGTGTATCAGCTTCCACACTGTTTAATCAAATGGTCAATTCTCATTCCTCATTCTACCCGGCCTGTAAAGTTCAAATTTGACACAGTTCTCCTTGACATATTTTTCATGTGTTCCAGGATACCACATCTTCTTGGTTTTTCCAGCCTTGCTGGTTGTTCCTCCTAAATCTTTTTCATGAGTCGTCCTTCTCTCACTTACTGTTAAGGTATACCAGGTCCTCTTCTCTGTCCATACTCACTCCATCAGCAGCAAATTCATTAAAAATCATGTGAGCCTTATATATGAAGGTCTCATACATTGAGTGCTCATCTCAATTTATATCTCCAGGCAAGTCTTCTCTCCCAGACTCCAGATTCATTTATTCAGCTGCCTACACAGCTTTGACACTTGCACATTCAATGTCTCAACCTGTATACAACTGAATTCCTGGTTTTCCTCTGCATAAGCTTACTCTATCCACAAAATTCTCCAATTCAGTTCATGAAAAGTATATTTTTCTAATTATTCAAGCCAAAAACCTTTGAGTCATCTTTGTTGCTTTCCTTTTTCTCATGCCCTAGATCCAACCCATCGCTAAACCTATTGGCTCTACCTTCATGTCCGCTGCTACCAACCAGGCCCAGGCCACTCAAAGGGCTGCAATAGCTCCTCATTGATCTCCCTACTCCAACCCTTGCCCTGCTCAGTCTGTTCTCAACCAGAAGCCATATTTTAATATGTAGATCAGATTCTGTCACTCCTCTGCTCTGATACCTACAACAGGCACCTATCTCACTCAGAGTAAAAGCCAAAGTTCTTATAAGGTCTGTTTTCCCTTATTTTTCTCATTGTAATGCAGGCCTTTTTGATATTCCTTGATCCTACCAGGGGTGTCAGAAAAGGGCTTTAGGCTCAGTTTGAGCTTTAGCTTGATTACTATATGTATCTCCAAAATGTAGTTTCTTATCTACAGAATGGGAATCAGATATCCCAACTACATCACAGGATTAAAGTAGAGGTGCTTCTTAACCCTATAGCCTTCTATAAATAAAATGCATTATTATCATTTTTCAATATGACCTCTAAAACTTGTCTTGCTTTGCTTGAACTTTTCCATTATTTCTAACCCCCTGTTTATATTCAGTTAATTCAAACAATATCTTGTATGTGACATCTTTTATGTCTGGCACCCTAGAGATATGAGGGTAACCAGGACAGGGTCTCTCAAGGACTTTATATTCTACAAGTGAGAGACAAACCTTGTGAAAATAAAAAGGTATAAAATATTGCATGTTGTTGTTGTTGTTGTTGGTTGCCGTCGAGTCGGCCCTGACTCATAGCGACCCCTCCTTGGGTTTCCAAGGCAGTACCACTATGGAAGTAGATTGCCCAACCTTCCTTCTGAGGAGTGGCTGGTGGGTATGAACCGCCAGCCTTCTGGTTAGCAGTCACGTGCCTTAGGCACTATGCTACCAGAGCTCCCAAAATTGCATGTGTACTGATAAAAGCATATATGAAGTACAGTGGGGGAAAGGAAGAATGTTCAGATCTACCTGGATTCCCGGGGAGAAATAGAAGAGAGGAGAAAGGAAGAGCCATCAAAGGCTTTGAGAGGGAACTTGTGCTGAATCTTAAAAGATTGTAGGTGGAGTTAAATGGCCAGTAGGTTGAGGAAGGAGAAGCCTTCTCTGAATAACCTCAATGCATACTCTTGAAGCACACTGTGCCTTATAATTTTAATTAATTCCTTACTTGAATTAAGTCATATGATTTATTCAATGATCATTCATTCATTGTTGTTTTCACCCACCAAATGTAACTCCAGCCTGAGAGGTTCGTTGGATTTCTTATTTATTCTTGCAACCTAGAGTTCAGCATAGTGTTTGCCTGGAAGGAAGTAAAGAAAAGAGGGAGGAAGAGAGAGAGGGAGGTGGAGAGGAAGTGAGGGAGGAAGGGAGGCAGGAAAGGAGGGACCACATCATGGTTAAGAGCACAAGTTTGGACGACAGATCATCCTGGTTAGAGTCCTAACTCTGCCACTTACCAGCGGCCTGACCTTAATCTAGTACTTAGCCTCTCTGTGCCATAGTTCCCTTATTTGTAAAATGAAGATAATAATAGTTGCTTCTTTGTGATATTGTTGAGGATTTAGTGAGATCATTCTTGAAAAGGGTTTAGCACATTGGCTATTACCATGTTTTGAACACTACTTTTATTTTCCAAGGCTTTGAACACCTTGGGCCAAATTTCAGGGACACTCTCAGAACAAAATTAAGTTCTTTCTCTAGCAGTTAAAACATTCAAGCATCATTAGCAATATATATATCAATAAAAAAAATTGACTTCTATGGTTGAGTGCCTGAGTTATATTACCCTTAGAAACAATATCTTCAGCGAACGCCTTTTCTCAGTTACTCAGTTTGGAGGCCATTTGTGTTTCAGGGTTGTCCTTGGCTATCTCTCTGACCTGAGTGAGGACATTCAGGACCCAGTGAGTGACAAATTCTTCAAGGAGGTGTGGGTTTCAACTGCAGCTCGAAATGCTACAATTTATGATAAGGTGATGTTTCCTTTTCCCCCTTTTTTTTCTGTTGAATACTGTCACAAAATGCATATCTTTATTTCCACTTTGCAATGCTACAGTGTTTGTTAACATTGAAAAGGAAGAGTCAAAAAGCATCATGGATTATGGGTGACGAGGAGTTTTAGTTGCAGGATTCCCATTGTACACATTCTTCGCATATTTCTACCCAGACTCTGAACATGAGATTATGAAACTAATTTTCTTAGGTATGATCATGGTATGGTGCTTATGTACATTTATGTCCTTATTGTTAGGAAACACGTGCTGAAGTATTCAGGGCTCAAGTGTTATGATGCCTGAAACTCATTTTCAGATTAACAAAAGAAGTGTTATGTATTAGCAGTTGATAACTCTAAGCAAAGTAAGACATGAACATTTCTGAAGAAGTTAGAGAAAATGTGTGTGTGTGTGTGTGTGTACATATATATATTTAAATATATTAAATATATATTAAAAGTTCTTAGACAAGAACTTCCAGTGAAATTTGAGAATGATTATTATCCACAAAATTAACCTTAATGATGGGCTAACAACAGTGAGATTTCTTGCCATCAGTTGACTCTGTCCTGGGGTTTCCTACTGCCATTGACTCAATTCCAACTCATAGTGACCCTATAGGACAGAGTAGAACTGCCCCATAGGGTTTCCAAGGCTGAAAATCATTATGAAAGCAGAGTGTCTCATCATTCCCCCATGAATCTGAACATGAGATTATGAAACTAATTTTCTTAAGTGTAGTGATACTGTGGTTATGTAGACATATGTCTTACTGTTAGGAAACACATGTTGAAGTGTACTTGGTTCAAACCACCAATCTTTTAATTAGCAGCTGAATGCTTTAACCACTAGTTCCATCAGAGTTCCTATCCTGGGGTTAAAGACCTTTTCACATCACATATAAGGATCTAGTTATGATTTTTCTTTTAAATGAACCAAACACAGCAGTGTCCTTGTAGCAGGTAAGAGAAGTAACTTTTAAATCAGATCTTTGTTGTGGCATACACCTAGTATGTCACAGCACAAAGGTTTTGTCTGTTGGAATATTTTCCATAGAAGGGGGTGTGCTTTCCTATAAACTTATCACTCAGTTTACATTGTGTTTTAATCAGGTGTTCCGGTGCCTTCCCAATGATGAAGTACACAATTTAATTCAGCTGCGAGACTTTATATGCAAGCCAATATTAGCAAAAGAAGATCGCATCAGAGCTGAGGAGGAACTTAAAAAGATCCGTGGGTTCTTGGTGCAATTTCCCTTTTATTTCTTGTCTGAAGAAAGCCTACTCCCTTCTGTTGGAACCAAAGAAGCCATGGTACCTATGGAGGTTTGGACTTAAGAAGAATTGTACTCTTTTGCAGCCCAAGGACTTTCACCATGAAGATCACACTGCACACAGTGGCTTTCTGGAGACCTCACAGTCAAAGTCTGTCCTGGCATACTGTCATCTCCAACCCATTGACACTTTGGGGAATGTGTCAAGGACTGGCATGGAATGGCTTAGAAGCAATGCAGCTATACTGATGTGGGGACATAGAACACGAGCAGGACTTTATAATTCTTCCAGGCTGTCTTTGTGAAAAAGGGACTGATTCTTGCAGGTAGCCATTCTTGCTGGAACAACAACTAATCTATACTTAAATCCCATGATGTACACAAAAATGCATTTCCTTTGAGAGTTTATCTATTGCCAAAAGTTATCTGAACTTCCTTATGCTTCCATAATCCTCATTTATGCAGCAAATATCTTCTTGGCCTGCCATGGTCTTGTACTCCATACAGGCACTGTTAGAGACATTGTTCACTGCTGGAAGATGTTGTGATGCTGCTTCTAAGTAACATGGGATCCCTGTCTATCTGACCCTGAAGAAGTAGTGCTGCCCCAACAAATGACACAGTTATTATTCATTTTTAGTGACAAAAGGACAAGACAGACTTTAGTCTACACAGCAACTCATGCTCGGCACTTCTGGTAACATTGAAGTATATATTTTGACACCACAGGGCAACAGGAAGGAATTAAATTCACTTGTTGAGGCAGAGATTTCACTTTGCCCCCAAAGCCATTGACAAGATGTGTCCTTGTGATAGGGCCCACCTAATCAATTCTGAAAACATGTGCAGTATATTTGATTACACAGCAACCAGATAAAACTCAAACACAGAGCATGCCGCCTTCAGAATCCTCCAAGGTGTCAGTGCGGATATGATCCAGATAAGAAGAGAAGATTTCTTACTTACAGGACTGTAAATTTTCTGTCATCTTTAGCTGCAGGATTGATTGAAATTTAAGTTTCTACATTTCAGAATCAAACCAGTGAACTCAATTTATCTTTCCAGAAAATCAGAGGCTACATAACTCCTACCAAGTTAATGAGTCTAACCTTATTTGACATTCAGCTTTTCAGCTACATTATCTCATTTAAGAAAAAGTAATTGATTGCAAAATATGTGTTACTTTGCTTGCATTATTAAATACACATTAACATTCCACAAGGGCTTCTGAAGAAGTACAGATACTTACTAATTCCTGTTACCCTAATCTGTGAATTGTTCTGGAAAACCCATTTTTCCTTTTCAGGTTTTAAAGTATCTTTTGCATACCAAAGCTCTAATTTTACTAAAAGTAGTTCTCTTAGAAGAGCTAATATGGGTTCCCAAAAGACGTGTGCGCACAAAATGTAGGGTGGGTACAATGATTACAAGTGTCTACCCACCAGCCACTCCTCGGAAGGAAGGTTGGGCAATCCTACTTCCGTAGTGATACTGCCTCGGAAACCCAAGGAGGGGTTGCTATGAGTCGGGGCCGACTCGACGGCACATAACAACAACAACAACATGGGCTACCTGGACAGAATCTCATTTGAGTTGTTCTAAGAAGTGAGGACCCAATGCTGTTTCATGGAACTAATAGTTCAGTCAAAATGTTAAATGGGAGCACAAGGTCAGTGATACAAGTTAGTAGAAGAAACATACAGTAAAACAACCAGGGGAGGATTTCACAGCAAGATACCATTTCACAAATGAGGTGGGACAAGGTAACCAACAATGGAAATTAAGATATTTTTATGAATAAATAACTTATTCTCATACAGCCGCAAATGGTTAAACAACTTTATTCTGTAGCAATTGTTAAGAAGACAATTGCTACTTAAGAAAGAAGCTCAGATTGTCATGTAAAATGTTAAGTGTATATGGAATGCCTAAGGATTTCTTATATTTTATTTTTAAATATTTTTTAAACCACACAGCAGTCAGTAAACTGGCTCTTGATTTTGTGCAAGATATTCACATAAAACCATGAAAACTGTAAGAGCCAGAAGCAACTTTTCCAGTCACTTATTCCAACCCCTACGCCATTTCACAGTTGAGAAAACTGAGGCTTGGATTGCTTGAAGAACTGACTTACATCCATCCAATTTATGTAGATGGTGGAACTGGACTCGTAAAATTTCTACAATCTGTTATTGACTTCTCTTTTCACTTCATCAGTGCTCAAAACTGAGAGGGTGCTGTAAACGTATTGCTGACAGGATGTCTCTAAGCTATTTTATACCCTGTGATATTATTTATGTTTTTATTGGTCTGTCTTCTCTTACTAGAATGTAAAGGAGTAAGGACTTCCTGTGTTTTGTTCATAATGTATCCTCAGACCTGAAACAGTGCCTGGCACCTAGTAGGTGCTCAATAAATATGGAATGAATCACTGAGGTAGGGGAGAGAACTAATGAAATGAAAAACTTACTGAGTTTCATATAAGAAATCTTACAGGTGGTTTCTCTGGCAAGTTCTTTTCTACTGCATCTTCTTGAAGGTAAGATACTCATCTACAAAGAGGAAAAGATACAAGATTTACTTGCAGGGATTTTGTATAAAATACAGTGCAGTAATTGCCCCTTTTGCAATAGCAGTGTACATGTTTTCGTTGTTAGGTGCTGTCGAGTGAGTTCTGACTCATAACGACCCTATGTAGAACACCATGAAATACTGCCTGGTTCTGCGCTATTCTCACAGTCCTGGCCGCTCTTGAGCCCATCATTGCAGTCACTGTGTAAATCCATCTTGTTAAGGGCCTTCTTCTTTTTTCCTGACCCTCCACTTCACCAAGCATGATACCATTCTCCAGGGAATGGTCCCTTCTGACCACATGACCAAAATAGGTGAGACGAAGTCTGGCATTTCTCACCTCCAAAGAGCATTCCAGCTGCACTTCTTCCAGGACAGATTTGTTTGTCTACATAGCATTCTGTAAAATTCACGTGGACTGTGGATATGAGATGCACTGGCTGACCTACTTACCAATCCTTCTCTGACATCATTATTACCTAATAGAAGTTACACAAATTTATCTTTAACATTGAGATGTCTGATAGGAACTTTAAAATGCAAATAACTCAAAGCTTTGAAAAGCTGTTATGAATCTGTTCAACATTTCAAGAGGAGTATCATCTTTTAAGATGCCTATTAATACAAAAAAAAAAAGTCATTGCCACTGTGTTGATGCTGATGCTGACTTATAGGGACCACATAGGACAGAATAGAACTGCACCATAGGGTTTCCAATGCTGTAATCTTTATGGAAGCTGTTTGCCACATGTTTGTCTTACAGAGAGGCTGGTGGATTTGAACCACCAACCTTTCAGTTAGCAGCTGAGTGCTTAATTGCTGCAACACCAGGGCTTCTTTGCCTATGAATACTATACATGAAACCTTGATAATCTCTGTAATCATTTTTGTTTTCAAGACAGAAAGATTCTATTATTGTGACAAATGAAGACTAGACTGTGTCATGGCCTATTAATGGTACTTAGATTGGCCAAGCTCAGTCACTGGAGGATACATAGTGGGTCTGTTGGAGGAATTTTTATGTATCAAGTGTCCACTCTGTGACTCACTTTTCAGTGGGGTGTTTTTAATTCTCACGAGCAATGTGTCATGGAGAGGTTTGGCAAGCTGGTCACTATATAATTATGTGGCACGTTAGAAAACAAAATATTAATGTGATTTTAAAAGCACTTTTGAAAGAAGTACTAGTTTGTAGGTACTCAAAATATGGGCAGTTAATCTATCCTGTAATATCTTGGGATACTGTAATCCATCATGAATCAACAGTCTTCTAGATGAACACAGCAAGCCAAACATACATTTTGCAGATGTAAGGCTGTAAGGATGATAGATTTTACAGAGAGAGTGAGGAACGTGCACTTCATTCTGCATCTGCTCACTCCTTATCCCTTCAACCTCTGCCCGCAACCAGAACACCTTGTTCTATAAGCTATTAGACACGACAAGAAGTTCCCTGGCAAAACCAAAATTTGACCTCTACAGTAAATCTTCAGTTTAACTCATATTTTTAATTGACTGACAAAATATTACATCCATCAAAGGTGATCATTCTTTCACCTTCCCTGGTCGACGTGGCATTTGAGCATTTTGAGATGCCTGTCACATTTTGTAGCAGGGGGTTAGAAATGACTCTTATGAATCCTCATCCCTCTCCTCTCTTGTTTAAAATTAGTAAATGCTAAAGGACCTGAGGTATGCTCAGGAATACATTGTTATGTCCTTGCAAGATCCTCTGAGGCCAATTATTCCTGGCAGTGTAGAGATTTTAAATGGATTTTACCCAGGGTTGGACTTTGAGAAATATTTTAATCTGGAAATTCACAGGAGAGCTCATCAGCATCTGTCATAAAGTTGCAAGTGAACAATCAGTGGATTTGCATTATTTTTATGGGAGCCAGGTATCATAATGGGACTCCTAACAGCAATGTTATTCACTTGACATATAATACTTGACTAGAGGTAGGAAAGCTTTAACTTGAGGTTACAAGAGCCAAAAAATGTTATGGCTAATTTTTTATAGGTTATTTTTATTTATCTTTTATATCATTATGATTTGTAAACTTAAGAACAAAAGTAATCAGTTACAGGATAAGTGAAAGTTTGTCACACTAATCATTTTAAACTTGCAAGTTTTAAAGTTACAGACTAGGATAGCAATCCAACCAAACAAAATGCAGGCTTACTTACTCTCTTCCTATTTCCAAGCAGCAATACATCACCTCATTCTAGATAAATGCACTTAAGTGAATGTCATTCACATTCTGTTTATTTGGTGCTGGGAAATACAACATCATGGCCTGCAAATCTGTATTCCTCTTGGATTCTTCACATAAAATGGTCTAGACCAAAGGTATTGATACTCTCCTAAACCATTTAAAGATTCATACCAACGTATTGCAGTTGAAGCACATGCCTCTCTAGCATGAAAAGCAAATACTTACACATCTATTTAGAGTATCCAGATATTCTGAGGATAATACTGGCTCCTAGCCT